ATTTTGGTTGTTTCATTTTTTGACTGTTGTGGTTAGTGCTGCTAAGAACATTCTCATACAAGTTTTTGTGTGTACATGCATTTAGTTCTCTTGGATCTATACCTAGGAGTGGAGTTGCTGGGTCATATGGTAACTTAAATGGTAAGCTTTTAGTTTTTCCCTTTATATTTTACTTGGGTCATTTACCATTATGAAAGGCCAGGGCTTCATATATGATTACATTATGAAAAATGCATCTAATCAGATGTTTAGCATAAAGAAATGTTTTTGTAAGGTTCATTGCAACCTGACTCTTTGCATCATCATGGAGAAATTGTCCTGTGTGAAGATAAACAACATAGCTTGAGATGGTCCGATTTCCTGACCATTGGCAATGATCTCCACTTTCTTATGTTAAAAGGCACTCACACAGCATTAGATGATGCCAAGATCATGCTCTTTGATGTGATTTCTGGGGAGGATAGGCCTGGCTTGCAGGAGAAACATGTAGACACTAGGACTGCTGCTGCATTCAGTCTCAACTCTTGTGCTTTGTTCATGGAGGCTGGAGGCCTAGGGAGAAACTTCAAAAATAATTTTTTTCACTTTCCCTATTACCTGTTACCCCGGGGATTGATTCTTCTGTTTGTTTAGTTTAAGACCTCTCTTTCATGCTGTTGGATTCTTTAAAAGTTGGATAATTCTAAACTGCTCATATTGTCAATGAAGGTGTAGATTGGACAGTTTTCGTAGCTAGAGTGTATTTCCTTATTCTGTGTAAGAATTTCTGTTCACCTGGTGGAGAAAAATCAGTGCCTTGGTGTCTGTGAATTACCTGGCACACTGTTGCCCTGGCCCAGATGTGCACTCTAGCACCTTGCTCATCAGAATTCCCATTGTAGAGAGTTGTACTTGGATGCTAATCTTGGTGATGCATAAGGGGGTTCCCTCTCTAATGGTAAATGAGGGAACACCAACCTAGCTGTTCCAGTATTTGTTGCCTTCTGCTTCATATCATACAAAAACTCATGTTCTGAGATGCTGGCTGGTAGCACTGCTCTTGGCCTTCCAACATTGAAATGGATTTATTTTCATTTTGTGTTTCTTCTGACATTTCAGTAGGATTTGGGGAAGAAGGTAAATAATCTTTGTAATTGACCATTTCTCTACTCTTATCTAGATCAGGACAGTCCAACCCAACCTTTTATCTCCAGAAAGGCTTTCAACAATATGTACTCAGGAAGAAACCACCTGGTCCACTTCTTCCTAAAGCACATAAGGTATGGCATACACATGCAATGATACATTCTTTGTTGACAAATAAATGCATTTTATACCCACAAAAACAATTTAAATTGCCTTTAAAAGTCATTTCATTATTATTAAATAATAGAAAATGGATTCTATTTCTTAGATAAATTTCACTTGAATCATATCCCCCTTTTGGTTTTGAAAAAGGATTTGAGGCTGAAATCTATCTTTAGGCTATTAATCTTGAACAACAACCAGCCCTCTTGTAGATTTCATTCCTTCCTGTACAATTGACTAGAAATATAGTCATTCAGTGAATATTTTCAGTGCTACTCATTTATAAATATTTTGTACTTTGGTTATATATTTAAATTATGTTTTTAAAAGCACATTATTATATCTTGGGAGACATAAGAGAGAAAGAGTGAGCCAGTGATCAGGGAACTGCTGGGAACAAAGGGATGTTTTATGATGCTATCTGTGAAATACTGTATTCAAAGAACTGTTGCCTTCATATAACCAGAGCCAAGATTAAGCCCCATGAATGTCCCTTACTTTTTACCCTAGTTAAATTGTTTTTAAGTGCTGGACTAATTTAAATTATAATAATTGCACTAAGACTACGTTTAAGGAAAATAATAAGGAAATTATTATCCTCTGGGTTATTTGTTGATACCGTTATAAAATTGAATTCTAGCCTTAATGTTAGCTCACAAGTAGTTATTAAATTTCTGTTTCTGATTTTTACTCATCTATCATCCTATTTAGATTGATAGAGAATTTAAAGTCCAGAAAGCTTTGTTTTCAATTGGATTCCCTGTTCCCAAGCCTTTACTGTACTGCAGCAATGCTTCTGTTATTGGAACAGAATTTTATGTGATGGAACATGTGCAGGTAAATTAACACTTCTCTTACTTTGTCACTTTTATTTTTAATTATGAAATTAATGTTAATAAATGATCATTTGTTAGTCAAAATTTTAGGTAATTAGTTTGCTTTTGCAAGGGTGTAAACTTTAGTTTTAATTTGAACACACACAATGTGGGAGAGATAAAACAGATTAGGAACAAATTAATAACTACGTAGGCCATATTGACTTGTTCTTAAATTTTCCTCTAGGTGTCAGTAAAGAGCTATATGTAATGACTAACCAAACCTTCCTGTCAGTAGGGGGAAAAGTACTCCAAATAGAAAATCCATTAAGAACAATAAATTCAAATTGTTTTAATTTTTTTTTGTAAAATGTAATTTGAGAGTAGTTTTTGTCATTTAAGCTCATCTTGGTGTATATTGTATTTCCCTTTGGCATATATACTCTTACACTAAACATGTTTCACGTGTGTTTTTCTAGCATGTTCTGCAAAGAATTGGTTTTGATTGCAAAACTGTTACCCTGATCTTTTGTAGGCAATAGGAGATGATGACACAGCAAAGAATTAAGACAAGATTTGTTTTAAATTATCTGTTGTAATTGCTTCCACAGGGTCGAATCTTTCGTGATTTCACAATTCCTGGAGTTAGCCCAGCAGAGCGCTCAGCCATATATGTGGCCATGATAGAAACCCTGGCTCAGTTACATTCCCTGAATATACACTCATTGCAGCTGGAAGGATATGGTATAGGTTCTGGGTACTGCAAAAGGCAGGTAATGCAGCCACATAAAGGGATTCTTTTCTCAAGTTTTTGGAAATAATATATATTACCAGTCAAAATTAAAACCTATTATTTTGTATTTTTCTGAAACTTGGCTGTAACTTTTAATATCAGCCTTCAGATTGACTTCTTTTAAGCATAAAATAATTTATATTTTTAGATCATATTTTGTTCAGCAAAAGCTTCTGTAACTGACAGAATGTACATGAATACAAATTTAAAGCTGTTTCAGCCTCTTCACTTAATTTAGTAACATATTTTCTATACAATTTTCCTTTTTTAAGGTAGGTTAACAGATATTTATTAAGCATGACTGTGTGTTTAATATGTGGTAGGTACTGTGTTAAATATCAAGAAAATAGAAATAAGTTCTTCTTCTAAAGGAACTTACGGTCAATTTTGAGAGACCTATACATGAATCTCATTTATATGAAACTTGAAAATATGAAATTTGAAAATGGTATAAAAGAGTATGTAACCTAGTAGTAAATTGTTTGGTACTCATCATTAGAGCTGTTCCATTCGGAGGGTAGATTCAGTATGCCCTTGCTAAAGTGGGGAAATCTTTCTGGAAGAGATATAGCTTACACTGCATATTTAAAGAAGGATAAAATCTAGAGTGGTAGGGAAGAGATGGTGAGCATTTCAAATCAAAGGAACAGCAAGACCAGATATGTATGAGGCAGCTTCCCTTTGTACACATGTCTTTTTGAGGGAGCTGAAGGGAGAGAGAAGGGAACGAAGGCTTAGAGAGTACTCACTATCTGCCAGTTCCCATGCTAGATGAATTGCTGACCTACTCTTTTTTAATCTTTGTGACAGCCATAAGACATAGGTATTATTGCTTCCGTTTTGCAGCTGAGGAAACTGAGGCTCGCAGGTATCAAGTGATACACAATTAAATGGCTTAGACATAATTTATACCCAGGTCTCTATGATTACAAAGATGAAGCTCTTCACTGAACTAAATTGAACAGAGATACCTTGGGGAGTGGGGAGAAAGGTAGATACAAGCAGATAAATAATATGGTCTCAAATGATGGAGGACTTTGAGAATAAGTTGATATGTTTGCATTCGATTCTAAGAACAATAAAAAGTCCTTCCACTCCTCATACCTATAATATGCAGAGGGGGCCAAAACAAAGTATACACGTTTTAAGAAAGGAAAAACTGTATTAAAATTGTAATA